GTGTTTGGATAGCTTTATAATATCCGGGAGTAATCGGAGCTCTGTTGATTTTCTTAGGTTCTTTCACTCGTCGCCATTCAACAAACGTACGATCGTTCGGTAAATTAAACCACGAGTGCACGTAAGTGATTTCAGACAGTCCCACTTGCCACCTGCCATTGAGATTGATGTGACGGGCTAGATCGGTTCTGTAACTGGCAATCGTGTTATTTTTAAACACTTCGTTACTGGCATTAGAGGGTAATGTGATATAAAAACCCTCCTCTTGTCTCAGATCCATTTTTTTATTGTATCTGTTTTTAAACGTCGTACAGGTCTGAGGCTTTAATCCAACTGGAAAATTTTTGAGGCCAGCCAAGCCATTTAACAAAAACTTGCTTCTGGCCTCTGTAAGTTCTGCGCTTTAAAATTTTTTCAACGTGGAAGGATCGTTCGGTCGATAAGTTTACTTTCTGCAATTCGGGTTCATAAAATGACCCTTCAATTTTTTCCCCATCAAAATCTTTGAGTTTATAAACCGGCGGCGCTCGATGAAGACACTCGTCCACGGTGAACAGCTCGTGTGTGAAACTCTGTTCATATTTTTTATCAAAAACACCTCTGAGTTTGGAAATTCTCACAACGTCACCCCTGTTAAACTTCATTTTCTTTGCAGGCTTCGGTGCGGTGGTCCCGTAAAGGTTGCGAAACACTTGCCATTGATTTTCCATGTTAACTTCAAAGGGGGCCATTTTGATAGAAGTGTGGTAGCTATGATTATAACCTTTCACCAAATCTTGAATCACATCTATGTAGCGATGGGTGTTTTTGGCTGTGAAATATCTCCAAATTCTACCTTTTAGAGTCCTGTTAAATCTCTCCACAACGCTGGCCTTTACGCTGCTGGCTGTGGCAAAATGCACAATTTCGTGTTTCTTCATGAGGGCTTCAAATTTCTTATTAAAAAATTCTTTACCAGAATCTGTTTGCAATTTTTTAGGGACACCGCTGTCTTTCAAAACTGAGGCAAAAGCTTCTGTAACATCTTTCCCCGATTTGTTTTTCAGGGCTCGTACATAGGCTTTCTTTGAAAATACATCTATGACGGTTAATAGGTAATTAAAGCCATCGTTTGATTTTGACAAGGCCTGCATGTCGCATAAGTCAGCTTGAAACTGTTTTAGCGGCCCTGAGACAAAAACCTTATTTCTCGGAAAATGAACTCTTGCAGGTTTGTGAAGTGTATAGGCGTCTTGTTCTGAGAGAAAATCGCGAGCCTTATCCGATGAAACTTTCTCCCCAATATCTTGTTGTAAACCGGTTCTAAACCTTTCCACACCACCGTAACTACCCTGATGTTCTGGTGTAAAATAAACCTTTTTCATTACCTCCTCCATCTCTGATGAATGGTTGGCAAAAATGATGCATATTTGTTTTCATTAGTTCTTTTTATTTCATAAATTGTACACACAGCTGAATAAAAATCACTCAATCTAATCAGAACTAAAATCTATTGACGCTACCATCAGAAATAAAATCTAATCATACTGTAAAAACAACAGCCATCAAATATAATGAATAAAATCACACAATCTAATCAGAACTAAAATCTATTGATGCTAACGTCAGAAATAAAATCTAATCATACTGTAAAAAACAACAGCCATCAAATATAATGAATAAAATCACACAGTCTAATCATACTGTCGTCAAATATAATCTAAACACTAGTCAGAAATCTAATCATACTGTAAAAAACAACCGTCAAATATAATCTAAACACTAGTCAGAACTAAAAACAGTCGTCAAATATAATGAATAAAATCACAGTCTAATCATACTGTCGTCAAATATAATCTAAACACTAGTCAGAACTAAAATCTAATCATACTGTCGTCAAATATAATAATAAAGTTGTAGAAGAGACCCTCCGCAGCTCGATCACTCCATCACCACCCCGGACAGCGCGTCCAGGTCAGCTTTGGACAGGCGATCGTACACCGGAAAAATGTCTTTGTGAATGGGCATCACAGCCCTGAATCCGTGCAGCTGCGTCACAGCCATGGTGAACACAATCTCAGTGTCCAGAGGCTGGAAGCCGTGCAGACTGAGAAAACTTTGAAGAGCCGGAATCAGTTTAGGTGTTAAAACCCTGCGAATAATGTCCGTAAAGTGAAAATCGTAAAATAATTCATTTTCAGCTACGTAAAGACATTCGTGTTGCCGTTGACTGGGGTGATCGATCTTGCATCCGTGGCAGATGGTTGGTAAGTGAGCTTTGATCGCCATGTTGACCAAGTGAAGAAGACCCATTTTCACACGGTCTACTTTGTCTTCTGAAAACACCCAGTCAGGCAGACGGTGAGGCTCCTCATCGGTGCTCTGGATGTCGAGGGGTTGCACCTCCTCCTCCTCCTCCTCATGACCTGGCGGCGGCTCAGGGTTTGATGTCACCAAAGGTGGATCAGCCCCGTCGACCCAGGGCCTGAATGGTACGTTCTCCGGAACCTCCATGATGGTGGGGAGTAGTGGTAGGTTATCCTCTGGAAAACACGGTGGCGCCGATGCGGGCCTCGGACTGCCGTTGTATCTCGGCGGTGGTGGTGATGGTAGCGATCTGGACCTCGGACTGGTGTTGTATCTCGGTGGTGATGAATCCGTTAGTACCCAGCTCGGTGGTGGGCTCCATAGGTCTTTAAGGGTCGTCTGATTGTAGAACCCCGTCATGCTGATGCCTGAGATCGTCTGGATGAAATGGTTTCTAACTGTAAGCTCTTTATAACTAGTGCTGGGTGGGGGGGGGGGGGGGGGGTGGGGGTGGGGGGGGGGCGTGGTATGATGCGACCTCCTCCTCCTCCTCCTAAGGCAGGTCTTAGAACTCCAGCTTTTTTCGCACTGTCAGAATGTCGTTCCAACAGCCGCTGGTACGAAAAAGTGAAGTAATACGATCCTCCACTTAATTTATTTTTTCACACCAGGCTTCGAAAGGTACAACCTGTAGAAGGCGGTAAATTCCGCATACAGAATGCACATTTTCCAGCACAAAAAAGAGCTCAAATCCTCTCACACGGACCGAGGCCTTGAACATCCACTCTCCATCCGCATCCTCTTCCCCCTCCCATGAAGCGCTGAATGCTGTCACAGCGTTCTGGATTTCATCCAACGTTGGAAGAGCTTGCGGCCCGCTGCGATTGACAGGCGGACGAGGTCTCTCATCATCATCTCTGTACACCTTGCGTGGAACAGCCAGCCTGAGCACAGCCCAGTCGTTGTAGGAGAGAACCGCTGGTGAGTTTGATAAATAGGATTTAAGAGGTTCGCCCTCAGCCACATTTTGGATTAGACACAGTTCCTTAGTGTCATAGCTGAACCGGTACCCAAAACTACCAGTATAGCCGTAAGGTTCCAACTGCCATATTTGCTCCAAGATCTCTTTACCGCCGAAAGGAGGAACCTGCACTCTGCAGATGTAGAATGTAGATTTGCGGGGAGCACCAATTCCAGCTGGCATCTGATGTATAGCGATGGATTTTTCACAAAGCATGGTTTTTGACAGCGGCGTATCCACGCTCTCTTCTTTCACTTTTTGAGTTGAAGTTGAAGCGTCGGATGTAGTAGACACCTCTTCCTCGTGGCTTGGTGCTTCATGCATCTCCTCGTGGTTCATCATTTTTTCTTAGAGCTTGGCTTTCCAGCATTCGGACACGATCTGAGCTTTTAAAGAGTTATCCACTATAGGATTACACTCAGAAGGGAGGGGGCTGTGGGAACCACTGGGGTAACACAATAAGAAACTTCACGCGCCATTACACACATTAGCCTATGACGTGGGGGATCATGGACATCTGGACGTTCAACAATACGCCATTGATGATGCGGCGTGGGGGGTCTAAGCCATCTGGACGCTCAACAATACACATGTCCATTTGATTAATGATAGGGAAGGGGGGGCATGGTCAGGGGGTCATTGAACAATACACCTGTCCATTTGATTGATGATAGGAAAGGGGGGGAAGGTCAAGGGTCAAAATGAACAATAGGACTGAAAGGTCAAAAAGGTCAAAGAACAATAGACCTGTCAAAATGTTTGACGAAAGGTATCTTATTATGTCTCTATTACATGAGAAATGCTTCAAGTCCTTCACTTTTTCACATAATCCTTTCACCTCTTTGAACTTTAAAAGTGTGACTGACTAAAAATCCATCTCTAATTATTATTCCTGATTATAATTGGTCACAGAGATTTCATACAGGCTGAACATGTAAAGGGTCTCCTACTGTTATGTGGAAGTTCAGATCCTGGTAATGGTGCAGTATATTATTTTCTACCAAGAACAATTTACAAGACATGTATTGTTTGAATGCTGCGTGCAGATTTATCCAACCAGCTATATCTCCATTTTGCAACATCAGAATCACAGCTGGTTGCTATTTATTGCAACTCTTTTGATAGTACTATGGTTTAAATGATTATTGTTGCTCCACCTTAACACATTCCTCTGAGTTAAAACGGTAATTAAACAGATACTTTTCTTGATGCTCTTCAGAACAGTTTGCTTTTCAAGCTTTGATGGCTACATCAAATTTTAAAATTATTTAAGCTTCTAATTTCACAGTTCAGCTAATAAAAAAATAACTGTTAAACTATTCCTACTAAAATACCAAGTGTTTAAACATTTCAGCTTTCCAGTTTTTTAAACTACGTTGAGAGATTTCAGGTTCCAGCCATTTGTTTTCTTCTCCATTCTTCACTTACCTTTTTGGCCTTAATTACACTTGTTAGTGATTTTTGCTCCTAAATCATCAAATACATTCAGCTCATTTTGACATTTTAGCTTAGTGTAAGCTTCAGTTAAGCTGTTTCATCAAAAAATTTCAGCACCCAGCATTCAAACAGCACTTCTGCAAGAAATGCAATTAATTTGATTAATGTTAAATTTCCTGTTCTCTAACAAGGACCCTTGAAAGCACACCGCTGCAAAGTTCAGATCATCAGAATACCAGAGGGTTATTTAACTCACTTGGAACTTAGACTTGCTGTCAGATTTGTCCTTGTCACACCTGTATGCCATACTCATCAGGTCATCAAAGCACGAGTTCCAGAAATTGGACATGATGTCGTGACTCCTCCCAAAAGTGTCCAGCTCGTATTGCTCCATTGTGGGCTGAACCTGGAAAAATACATTTAAATTAAATCAAATACATAAATGAAATATTAACTAATTTATTACACGTTTGAGGTAAAAACACCAAAATGATATATTTTCCTGTTTCGCATTACAGCTTTAGTAAACCAAATACATAAACAGCTACATTAGAAACACGCACAGTCCCTTTAACATTGGGGAGAGGGTTTATGTTCGGTCAGTGTCTGAAAAACAGCCTCGAGTAACTTTTCTGCCAATTGCCTCCATCCCTCTCAATCTACCAGAGAGCTGCCGTTCGGCATCGTTGTTTTCACCTAGCATTCTTAATCACTTGTGTTCTGTAAATCACTTCAGGAGATGCTGGTGCTCCCCTCACCTCCCCCTCTTGCCTGTGTTTTTCAAGCAGTCAGGTAAAGAGGCAGCAAGAGAAAAACCAGGGACAAGAATACTCAACAAGAGTGTCTTTAGTCAGAGGCTACATGCAGGATATAATGATGCATACAGGCATCTGTGAAATGTGATTTTTTTTAAATTACTATGTTTGTAGCCTTTATAGCTGATGTTGCATTCACAACTTCACAAAGTCAGTCATAACTTATTTTGGGTGGGCAAGTTCCGTTGACCAGATTCAACAGAAGCCCTTTTTACGAAAGAGCCACAAAATGCTCAGGCAATCCAAGAGAGCATTATAGTTTTATTAGAACAATAAACCTTCAAATGCACAAGCCTTTTGAGAATGTTTTCTATTGCAACTCAAACAGTTTTGGGGGAATAATGCAGGTTAACTGCAATGCAGGCTTCGATTGTCCAGGTTCCAAAGAAGGTTCACAACAGCTGTGATGAAGCTGCTTTTCAGCTGTTGAAAACAAGCCAGACTCTTGAAAAGGCTTCAGGTGATCAGCTGCATCTGAACAGGATTTATTTTTCAGGTTACCTGGCTGCACTTGCATGTAAAACGAAACAGTGAAAAGTGAAACTTCTTCAATCCTTTGAGTTTTGACGTGATCTGTTCTCTGTCTTGGCTGAAGCCACGCTGCTTGAGTTTTTAGACAAACCCTCAGAGAGGTGGCTGTCCGTCACAGTTCCTGAGAACGGTCTGGCTACTTCTGCCTCTGCTCGTAAAGACAGAAGTTCACAGATCTCGTTGTCACTCCAATTAGCCATGTCCGCTGGTTGTTTACTAACTTTCCCATGTTTACGTGGTTTATATACTCTTTTCGGTCAGGGGTCGCCACACGTTTGCTACGTCATTTGACATCTTCCTCTGTTGTGCCAAGGTGCAATCACTGTTTATAGGACAGACAATTACTGCAATATTACTACCAAGCGAGGCGCAACAAATGCAGCAAAATTCGCACAACGCCATGCCAGCATGGCGTGTTTATAGAACACACTGTTGCGGTAATGTTATGCTGATTCGCCGGCACAGTGTGTCTTGTAAAAAGGGCTTGTGAGTCATTTTCTACTGGGGCTTTTTAAGGGCTAAAGAGGCAAACAAAATGAGGCCAACCTAAATGACTGAGAATTTTCAAGGTACCCAACATTCCTCCACATTACAATGGGCCATTGTCTGTGCTCTGCACAGAGAATGGCTACATTTACAAATGAAAGACAGCTAATTGTCAGTGATTGGGTTGTGATTTTCAAACCAAGGAGCCATTTGGCTACCTCCGGTAGAGCTGAGAAAATCCTAGTAGTTCTCGTGAGAAGTTGAAATAAGTGAGTTTGTTCAATAAAATTTCATGCTTTACAGTATCAAAGGCCTTCTTTAAATCCAAAAATACTGCTCCCACATGTGGATTTGTATCTAATAGACTCTTGACCAGCTCTATGAAGAAACAAAGAGCTGTTGTGTCTAGCCCTAAAACCAAACTGGCATTGGGCCAGTGGAAAATGACCCTGATCTAGATGGCTAGTTAACTGAACAGCAATCCATTTTTCTACAGTTTTGGACACGATGGGTAGAATACTGATAGGTCGATAGCCCGTTCTTAAATACTGGTGTAACAATTGCCTCCTTCCAAGAGGAGGGAACTCTACACTGGCTGATGGATTGGTTAACCATTAATGTTATTGGTGGGACTAATGTTTCAATGCGTGTCTTAAGAAAATGAGAGTCAATTTCCAGTGTATCCATTGCCTTTGAACACCTAAATTTTGTAATGATTTTGAATTTATCCTCATTAGTTGTATTAACTGGATGAAAGGTGGGCAAATCTTCATTAATTGGGCATGGAATAATAGAAGGGGACAGGAAAAGATTTGTAAAGCTGGTTACACTTTCTATAAAAAAAAAAAAGAACTTGCAACCATCCCAGGATCACTAATAACTTCAGTGTTTGTGCTCAGCTCAGTAGGTCCACTTATCTTTTCTTACCTAGAACTTTTTGAATAGTCTGCCATATTATCTTACTATTTCCTTTTGCAGTTTGCATAATGGTAATAATAAACTTTGCCTTAGTTTTTCGTATAGACTGGGTAGCATTATTCCTTGCCTGTGTGAATTTCTGTCTGTCACAGCATAAATATTGTGTGAGCAGCAGATCCCTGGACTTTAGTAGGCTATAGCAACTGTCATCTAGCCAAGGCAATGAATTTGCTTTCCTTTGTGGCCTATATTTGGCTGCCGAGTTTAAAGAAAAGATCACCTGTTTAAGTTTTTCTGAGAAAGCCTTGCAGTTTGCTTCAATGTTTGAATGACATAAAATGTCGTCCCAGTTTATTTTTCCTAGTTTTTTTACTGATATCATCTTTCTGTGTATGTATAGTTGTTGGTATGGCTGTATGTGAGTTGGAGGTGATGTGGGGCCTTGCATATCTTTGTTTTACTCGCTTCCTAGAGAAAAAAATGCTGTTAGATCTGAGGCCAGACACAAAGTTATGTGTTTTAGCTATCCTATCAGGCTTATTGGTAAATAATATGTCTATGGTTGTCTGTGATTTCTCTGTTACTCTAGTGGGTTGATCTATTAGCTGCTTAGAATGATAGAAATCCATTATTTGCTTTAGGCTTCTTATTTCCTTTTGTCATCTCAGTTTATATTAAAATCACCCATGATGATGATCTCCTTGTCATGATCACAAGATTTCAGTAACTCTAACTGCTCATAAAAACCTACTTTAGAGGATGGGCAGTGATAGACACAAATAAGAGTAAATGACATTTCTTTTGGTCATTTGTGCTCCAACTATTTCCAGTGTAGTCTTATTATGCCAGGATAACTGCTGGCAAGTTAGTGTATCTTTAATGTACAGCAATACTCCCCTCCTTTTGAGCCCACCCTATGCTTCCTAAACCAGGCATATTTACTAATGCTTCAGCTGATGATGGCTTTAACCAGGACTCCGAATGTCCAAGCAGTCGATGTTAGAATTATAGAGTAGATGCTCCAAATGTTCCCTTTTATTTACAATGCTTCTAATGTTCACATGTCCACGTAGTAATCCTCTGGGCTTGGTTTCTGGATCCCAAATGAGTTTAGACTGATTCAGTGTTCTGAACAGCTTCCTCTTCCTATGATATTTTAGAACAGGATTTCTAGATGTTACCATGACGGCAGTGAAAGCATCAAAGACCGATGCAATGGAGTTAGTTGATATAAGATTTGTTCCAGATGTTACAGGCTCCTTCGTTGCTTTGTCGACCATCGACTGCTCTTCCCTGCTTCTCGAAGATCTGATCTGGACAGGGTCGCAGGCTCAGTGTGACTTTCAGGTTGTAAATAATCCACAGAACGCCACTTCATGCTGAACGTATTAAGCCGAGCAGGCCCGCCTGCAGGCTCAGACACCAGGGCACGATCCAGCTGCCAAGCTGGAGCCCGTGCTGCCTGCAGTGCCGAAGGAACTCCTCCCTTCCTCGCCGGCGCTTCAGCCTTCACCGATCCCACTGAACTCCTCACCACCAGTCCGCGCCGCACTGCCACCGCCCGAGCAGAAGGCCCAAGCATACTCTCCTCTGCCAACCCACCTCCACCCCAGACTGGCAACTCGATCCTGGAAGCCCCACACTGCATATATTCCACCCCAGCCGTGAACCGCACGCCTGCACCCCAGGCCTCCATCTGCAGGGCCCTGCACTGCGCATCTCATCAGGGACAGAGTTTCTCTTTCCCTCCACGTTAATGCTAGCAGGTCCAGGGCATGGATGGATGTCACCATACATCAATATGCAAATGAACATCATCAGGGCATTCCTTTGTTGCGTTAGGTACCGAGTTCTAGTTCGACTCTTCCGTGTAGCGTTGGATAGATGAAAGCCACAATTAGGGTGTAATCTCCATAACCAACCCCCCCCACCCCCCACCCCCCACACACAGAACTTGTAGGGTGTTAGTATGGTTCTGGGCAAGTGCAATTTTGCTTTTTGAATCATTAAAAAAAGAAGTCAGCCCAGACAAGTTGTAAAATAGAGCAAACGCCAAGAGAGCGGTTGCTACTCCTGCCACACCCTGCACCATCCTCCGTTGCTGCCACCATTACCTATGTCAGCTGGAAACACTCAAACGTCTAAGAGATGAGATCTAAACCTGCAACAGCTTCTTAATTAAATCTCAGGTCAAAGGTCATAAAATGGGAGTACAGAAATCTGTGTGTGTGTGTGTGTGTGTGTGTGTGTGTGTGTGTGTGTGTGTGTGTGTGTGTGTGTGTGTACCATAGAGTTTTTGATGGTTAATTACATTTGCTGAAAACAGGACAGAAGAGTCTCTAGACTCCCTAAACAAAAAGATCATCGATGGCATTTTATAAATACACAAAGTCAAGTGAGGCACAGACCTTCTGCTGGTAAAACCTCTGCCACTCCAGAGTGCGACAGTAAGCCTTCAAATCCTCTGGGAAGGTGGAGCTGCCATTTGTAACAGGTAGATTAGGCAGATGATTCTGCAAGGCGATGGGGTCAGCGTGCTGGTCCAGCAGGGTCCGAACTACAGGCACTAGCTGGGAGAAGGTCTCCGACTGGCTGCTGGTTGGCTTGGCCGTCACACTCTCAGGCCACAAGGGGGCACCAAGCTTCCCCAGCAGGAAGCACACCTCCTCCCAGCTCAAACACAGCACTGTCTGGAGGAGGCTATGGAGCTTCACATAGGCCATCTCACACACCTGAACATCCACAAAAAGAGAATTAGTTTTCTGAATAATGTCTGTGTAGCAATAAATAACTTAAATATGAAAATAAAAAGCCAAAATCTCAGAGCTGATCTGGAGATATTTGTTAATCAGGGTTTTCCTGCTTTGTGCAGGTTTACACTTTAATTTTTATTTATTCATTTGGTTTAGTACAGAAAACTGCAGGTACTGTTTACCGGTATGTCAGGACAGACACTCACACTAAAAACATTCAACTCTTATTTAGTTCTGACGCTTTCCTGTAATCATCTACAAATTACAAAGAATGATAAAAGTAAACGTGACTTTCTAGAGTCAAGTACTTTTTAGATCTTTATTAGAACCAATATCAGCAAACAACATCCATCTCCTTTAAGCCTCATGAGATTATGAAGCTGCAGCTGTTACACACCTGCTTAGACTCTATTAAAGCTGGACGGTGGGAGCTCTCTGCAGCTGAACGAAGACAAGGCTGAGATAATCATCTGTGCCCCAGACAAGCTGGTTCCTAAAGGAGGAGACTCTACTCTCTAGTAGACCCTTCTAGTTGGAATCCTCTGTCAGCAATCATGATGTGACCTTTGACCCAGCTCTCACTCTGGATTCTCATGTCAGTTCTCTTGTTAGCTCTTCCTTCTTCCATCTCAGGAACGTTGCCAAGCTGAGTCCCATTCTGTCATGCCCTGAACTTGAGACAGTTCTCTGTCATTGGCGTAGATTTGCTCTTGAAATCGGTGGGCACTTATAAAACTGAAGCCTAGCGCTGCCAATAACGTCATCATGATGGACTCATTTCATTAGCACTTAACTTTTAAGTGACTTACTTTGGAAAATAGCTCCTTATGTCCTCAACCTTCTTCTTTTTTTGCCTCCATCCTCATGTAAATTACTTTTTTGACACTCTTATTTTGATGAATACAGTCAGACAGGATGTGGTGTACAGTGCTTTTATTGCAACACATTCTCACACCCAAAGCGTCGAAAAATGACGCATGTGACCAAGCATCAAAATAAGACAATTAGGGCGCCCCTGCACATCGGGAGAGGACGCGCAGGGACAGAGTGTTGGTATCTGACGCCCTCGGTGAGACGGACATTTGACCGACTTGTGAACTACTTAACCTTCCCCTCACCCCTAACTTCTAACCTTAACCAGCTTGCGCATGCAAAGCTCAATTAAAATTACTGAGTTACGGTTAGGATGGGGGTGAGGGCAAAGTTAAATTGCTAGAGGTTTGAGGAATAATGTCCGTGTCACCGCGGGCATCGGATACGGATGCCAGCGGTGACACGTGTCCCTGCGCGTCCTCTTCCGATGCGCTGGGGCACTCTGATCGTCGTATTTTGACGCTGGGTCACACGCATCATTTTTCGACGCTTAGGGTGTGAGAATGTGTTGTTTATTGTGTCGACCGGAAGTGTGTGGGTTGGGTAATGTCTCGTTGCCATGTAGGTTGTTTTATTTATTTCCCCCTTTCCCCTGTGCTAAGGCTCCTTTGTTTGGGTATGTGCTCTTATCTTGCATAATTATGTATGCAGTGGTTTCCATTGTTGCATTGTTACTGCTGCTGGCAGGGTTTTGTACAGTTGTTTTTGTTTTTGGGTTATTTGGGCTGCTAAACGAGGATGTTTATTTATTTTGTCAGGGGTGAAGCATGCAAAGTACTTTTGTGAGACTCTTATTTTGACTCAGTCAGACAGGATGTGGTGTACAGTGCTTTTATTGCTTATGGGGTGACAATGGTACAGGAGTTGTGCTCGCAGCGTAATTGGAAGGTTGCAGGTTCGAGACCCGCTTAGTTTGTCACTGTCATTGTGTCCTTGGGCAAGACACCCCCCCCCCCCCCCCCACCTGCTCGAAGTGGTCAGAGGGACGGGTGGTGTCAGTGCTCGGCAGCCTCGCCTCTGTCAGTGCACCCCAGGGCAGCTGTGGCTACATCGTAGCTCATCCCCACCAGTGTGTGAATGAGGGAATGACTGATTGTGTTGTAAAGCACCTTGGGGGGTTCCAAGACTCTAGAAGGCGCTACATCAAAACACAGGCCATTTACCATTTTATTGTGATGACCAGAAGTGACTGGGTTGGTTGTTGGGGAACTTGACTGCTGTAATGTGAAGTAACGGTGGTGTTAATAGGGAGCCTAAGTCTCCTCCCTTTCCAGTCGTCTCATGGATCCCGGAAGAACGAAAAGATCAATGCAAGCCAACTTGCTTTTGGCCCAACGTGTCACTCACGCCTCATTGCAAAAACAAAAGTCTTGCATGTGACTGGAACGTTTGGCGCTGTTAAAAAGTGGCGTAGTATGTCTCAAGCGAGTCTCCCACAACAGCATGCACAGCCAATCACACTGGCCATAGAAGTAGGACTCGAGGAGAGAAAATCATTTCTTTCTGCACCTCCAGGGTAACGAGACATTGAATGGCTTGTGGTTTTTAAAGGGACATTATGGAAGTGTGACAGCCAAAACATGTATAGAAATAATAAATGTCTTCTTCATGCATTCTCCTGCAATGCCCTGGTCCTGTAGAATGAGCCCTGGCATTTTTACTGTGATTGCCTGTTTTTCTGTAAAATCACAGAAAAAGAGAGATGCTCGGGTCGAGCAGGCTGCTTCATGCGCGTTCATGCTCAGGCATAGCCCGTAGCATTTGCTATCAGTAGCTTTAGCAGCAGAGAGTGAGGTAGTGCCAACTCAGCGACTTTGTCGCTGTTCCTAATGCCTAGTGATGAACCTAGCTACATTTCTGAGGACCCTTAGCTGGCTCCTGCCCCCATACAGTATTAGCGGAGAATACTTTCTTCTAGATATTTCCTGCAAATTAGCAACAAAATAGCCATTTTCACTCCGAACCGTTCATTGTTTCAGCTGTCATCAAGGATATAAATGTTACAGACACAAAAGACATCACTGGTGCTATAGCTCACCTAGTAAGATGTCTGAGTCCCGTGCTGAAAACCCAGGTTCGATTCTGGATGTGAACATAATTTATTTAGAGTTTATTTTTTACATTATTGGTATATTTTTTTTTACAGTAAGACGCCCACATTTTTATTTGAGACTCGCCGAACGGCATTGAATTCACAGATAAAAAAGATGTGGGTTCAACTTTCATTTTGGAACAATTTTTCAAGCAAGGGAAGGGAATGATCTGAGCATGCAGGAGGACTGACCCATCATAAACCTTTGTCGGCTGTGCTGAAGAGAAAGGTACAGAACCAAATTATTTAATTAATTAGCAGCGTGTTTTCCTGTCCTCTATCCTCCGGGCCACACTCACACACACACACACACACACACACACACACACACACACACACGCACGCACGCACGCACGTACGCACACACACACACACAGGACTGTCTCAGTGTGCACGTACAGCATGCGCGCCTCGTGCACGAGCCTACTATTGAAGCTGCCGTTACGCTTTTGGCCTGAGGGGGCAATCGCGAGCATAAAAATTCAAAACTCCATAAAGTCCCTTTAAGTGGAGGCGGTCAAATTATTGGTGGAGAATATTTGGTCATCGCTGGATGTTGGTGGGGACACGTCACCTCCGTCCATGCCAAATCTACGCCTTCATCTACTCACACTTAGACTACTACAACAGTCTTTAAATATTTTAAAATTTTAAGATTAAAGTCCCATCAGTTGTCACACAGACTGGTGTGCGGTGAAATATGTCCTTCAAATTTGATCCATTCCTGTGGGTTAGGGGTGAGCTGCAAAAATGGTGGTGCTCAGGAAGTATTCAGTGGTTTAAACCCCTAAGCCAACCCCTTAATGCTGAGTGTCAAGCAGGGAGGCATTGGGTCCCATGTTTTTAAATCTTTGATATGACCCAACTGGGATTTGAACCCCAATATCCCCATCTCATGGCAAACACTCACACTTCTAGGCCATTGAACTGGTTTTCACTTGTTTGAGAAAAACCTCCCTGAACAATTTACAGGTGGTTCAGGCCCTGTCCACACGTAGCCGGGGATCTGCCAAAACGTAGATATTTTTCTACGTTTTGGCCTGTCATCCACACAAAAACGGAGTTTTTTCACACAAAAACGGATCTTTTTAAAAACTCCGGCCAAAGCGAAGATCTGTGTTTTCTCCGTTTTGGGTGTCTGCGTGTGGACAGACAAAACCGGAGTTTTAAGGTCCGCAACGTCACTTTCCGGGACAAAAAATTGCTGACATCACGTGTGCGACCTGTGTTTACACTAGCCGACATCATGGAAGCCTTCAGAGCTGCGCCCTGTCACTACCCGATCTATCAATTGTCCAAGCGCTTTTTGCTTGTTTGTTTTTGCAAGCGGAATTACTGCTCCTTGCGGAAGACCACAGACGAAGGCCGAGGTTAAGAACGGGGGAAGTACTGCCGCCTACAGGTCTGGCATGTCCTTAACAACGTATTTATCCGGGTACGTGTGGACAGAGTTTGTTTTTAAAACGAGGTGGTGTGGATGCAAGTTTTTGGAGGAGCGGATATTCGTTTAAAAAAAACGGCTACGTGTGGACTAGGCCTCAGAATGCCTGTGCTCAGCTTCTGACCAAGTCCTCAGAACACACCCATGTCACCCTTCCAGCTTCACTGGCTGCCAGTTAACCCACAGGCCACCTATTGTGCACCGCTGCTGTAGAGGATGCAAGGGTGTGTTTAATTTGTTTGTAGCTGCCTATATATGTGTGTGTTAACTGAAACAGACAATTTGTCTCAGGCAAGAGAGAAGGAAGGGGATGTGGGAAGCATGTGTCTCAACTGATTAGCACACTTCAACTGTTTAAACACGTTTAATTAGTAACTTCTATATCCTGTTGTGGGTTGTCTTTGAGTGTTTGTAGAAGCAAGGCTGTGCTTTTCCGTGGGAACTGCCCCCTCAGGTGATTGTTTAACTGCTTTTTGTAAATAAAAGGCTGCACTGAGGAGCAGTCAGAAGTCCAACCATTGTGTAACACCGCTCCTCACGAGCCAAAAAACTTACTGTCTGTCTGAATTTGTCCCTTTTCTACCACATAGAAAGTCTAGTATTTAAACTCCTCACCAGAGGTGGAAAGAGTACTAAAATGTCCTACTTAAGTATGAGTACCAGTACTTTGATGATTTTTTACTCAAGAAAAAGTAAAAAGGATCGTAAATAAAATGTACTCAAAGTAAAAGTTACTTAGTTACATTTTTGTCAGCGTAAAGATGGTTACATCAGTGCAAAACCACAACACCAGTTCACAACACGCTCATGTGCGCACACACACACACACACACACACACACACACACACACACACACACACACACACACACACAACACACACACACACACACACACAGTTTGATGGAGGGATTTCTATCCAATCAGTGAGAACAGGATGTGCACATTGAATTGGACGAGGTTTTTCTAGGATTGTACGGTTTCAATTGTGATTAAAATTATTCTTTATTTTGAAAAAATAAAAATGTTAATGTTTAGATGCCATCAGCATGTGAGGTATCTCAATGTTTTCATGACAAAACTCTAACATGAGACTGTGCTCTAACCTGTCACATAACAAGCTAAATGAAAGTCAAACATTTCAGATGGACCGTATGACAGCTGCTAACGTTGGCCCTGCCCTACTTTACCTCTACATTACAGTTCCTTTATCCATGTCCATCCTAGAGCTCCTCTCTGACCTTCATGCTTATTTAGAGCAGCTGATTTTTAAAGTTAGCAGAGTTCATCCTTGGTAGTGGGTTCACTCACTCATTTAAAGATATCGGCCAGAGGCAAAGTTCGTTTGAGCAGCATGTGTAAATGTGTATTAAAACCTCAGATGAAGAAGATTTTTGGATCTGGACGGCTGGAATTGTAAGAAAATCTGGTGTTTGTGACCGGCGCGGGAAAAACTGAAACTAACTTCCGGTCTAAGCCCTGGGCAGCTAGTGACGTTTCACATGGAGCTCTGCTGAAACAGCTGTAGTAAACAACGCCTGACTCCGCTGTTTCTGCGTTAGCGTTATAGCAGAGAACAGTAGCTGCGTTTACATGTGCCAAATTTCCTCAATCCGATTGAAATCTTGGTTGATCGGAATTTCCGAATCTCTGTTCACATGGACATGAACTGAAATGATCCGATCATGCCGTGCGTACATACACACCAAGCATTTAATCCGATTAAATAGGTTGAGCATGCGCAGAGTTGCCTTTCCCGAAAGAAAAATTGTAAACAAACGCCATGAAACGAAATAAAAAATGTAAAAACAGAAAAAAGTATTCTTCCTGCTTTCCTGATTCATTTATTCAATTTAATATTTTTATTTAGCTCATAGAAGTTACGTTTTCTTCAGTGAATAACTGCAGATATATGCTTTGCTGCATTTTATTGTTGATTAAAATAAGGGAGGGTTATGTCTCTGCCTCTGGATCAGCTGGTCCGCGGGCCTGAAGTGACAGCTGTGCTGCTGCGCTGCGGCACAGAGCGGGGGGGGGGTGTTACTGAGCTCTGTTGTGGCTTATTATTAATAACATGTGACAATCAGCCGAAACTGTTGAGAAAAATCTGTTCAAACAAAATAACAGGAGATGTTCAGAAAGTTTAGAAGCCTGTGTTCATCATTAACGAACCGCATCTCAGGTCATCTGCGTTTACATGCTTTTAACACGGACTTTACTGTCGTCCAGAGTATTTAACCGAGGACGTGTTCCTACCCAACATCAGCCTCCAGTCAGGTCTGTAAAACCCAGATTATCCTGCCTTCTTTACAAGCGCGTCTCCATCACCTGCTGCAGAAGCTGCTGCGTTCAAAGCTGGCATAAACGGGGATCCGTGTGCTGCAACCCCCGCAATAAACCCGCGTATTTCCAGTACAGACATGAACATGTTTGTCGACTGATTTGTGCAATAATCAGATTTTTATTTTACTTCCACAAAATGCAAGCTCTGAATTAAATATTACTGAAACGGGGACGGCTTGTCGTCGGATTTAAAAGCCGCTGCTCGTTAATTACGCCGTCGTTTTTGAAGTCAGGCAGTCCAAATGACCGCGGAGAGGCCCGCTGGCTGTTGCACACATGCGCAGTGGGCTTTATTTTACCCCAACAATCCGAATGGCTGTGTGCACGTCAATTGGAATGAAGAACGGAATAAACCACCTCTCTCAATCGCATTGAAATTTCAATCCGATCGGGCCGAATCGGATCAGAATATTCCGATTGACATGTTTACATGCAGAATTTTTTATCTGAATGGGCGTTCAATCCGATTAAATATGCACATGTAAACGTGATTATTGTGTCATCAATCAGATGAAGCTTCTGAAGCCTCTGCTAGTCGGTCAGATTTGTTTTTTCTCTGGGATACGGCGACGAGAACGGATATTGGATTACTAGAGAAGTTCAACCGAACTCCGACCCCGCCAGCTGGATATCACTACCAGAGGTGCAGACATGTTTTAGACCGTTTGACTCAGAAGACCTGCGACCTGATTTGGACATAGAGGAGGATTCTGTTCATCTTCAGAACCAAAATCGGTACAGTTTGTTTACTTTTCTTAAATATTTCATTTCTGTGCTCCACTGGGAGCTCTAAGCTGGTTTTAGCTCCATCACGTGTCCCAATATAGTTCAGTAATCTACAGTTTTACTGCTGTGTGTAATTATTGATATAACTCTGGAAAATGTTTAACCGACAATTTACCAGAATAAATCTTCCTGATGCTGGAGTAACTCCTTAGCTAAACTCAAAGAGCTGGAATTCCCATCACTAGACTGAACTGATGTTTTTGAGCGTAACTGCGGTAAAAATGGCTGTTTGTCCTTATCGTCAAAAGTGTACCGCCCCTCCCGGTTTAGACGCGGTGCTCATGCAGGGGCCTCTCTCTGTTCCGATGCTGCTACACGTAATATTTTTAATTTAATAAGCCTACAATTTATTTTTACTCTGTAACGGATATGATTTAAAATGTAGCGAATTACTATTCTACTCAACTAAAAGTAAAAGTACAGATTTTAAAAACGACTTAAAAAGTATAAATATACAAAAAAGCTATTCAATTACAGTAACGTGAGTAAATTTGTTACTTTCCACCTCTGCTCCTCACTTATCAATGTAAAAAAATTTCTTAAAAAAGGCCATCAGACGTCCATCTAGTGGCTCTAGGAAAGTCAGGCAGAGGGGGAAATGTTACATTACCCCTGTTGAATGGGTGGAGCGGTTGTTGCAGCTAACCTGTGAGTTCTGCTGCTGGATGTATCCCATGATGATCCGAAGGCCGATCTTTGACATCTCTTTCAGTTCTGTGTTTCCGGGAATGCCAGGGGTGCTGTGCCAGGCCTGCAACCTGTCCAGCAGGTTCACCACCCCCTCAAAAATCTGAAGCACAACCAACTGCAGCAGTTAACAAAAGGGACTCGGCAATAAAGACTAGACCTGTTTCCACAACTCGTCACCACTCTGACACAGCTGTAGCTCTCTCAGATTTTATAACATTTGACCTAGTCAGCAGTTTTTAACAGGAAAAATGTGAATTGATGTTATAAACCAAGAGTTTTAGGAATTCTAGTGAATAAAACCCTGCTAATTTGGATAATTTGTGTTCAAAACACTTACAAAAAATCTAAATGTTTATGTTTCTCAATTTTTTTTTTATACCTGCATAGGCAGGGCTGGATTATGATTGTAAGGGCTCCTGGGCACAAAGTGCCCAAAGCCTCTCACCCCCTTCCTCGTCACTTCACAATTACCACTCTTCATAAGCATGTAGCAAACTAGTAACCATCATCTTATTTATCTTATCTTCCAACAGGCATGGATCAGATCCCTGCACTTGGAAACATTCCATAGACTGCTGGAGAGTAATCTAACACATGACCCAAGTCTCTTGGTAGACATCATGGATGAGACATCACCAAGCAGCTCCTCCTGCATCAGATGCACCTGGTGTATTTACACAAACTGTAGAGAAAAGCAACATTATCAGCCCTCCCTCAAACTGAAGTGTACATTTTGCAAAGGGGGTCCTCCGGCAGTAGGAGAAGCACGTGTGCAGAGGAACATGGTCACAAGGTCGTAATACCAAGTTATGTTGTCTGAAAAACTCGGGACAGATACTCAGACCCACACGGACACTATAAAGGTTTTATCCATATCATCATCTAACTACATTAGACAAAGACTGTTGCTGACACTCATTTCATTTATTTACCATTGCTAAATTACCTTTTTTAGTTTGTATTTTATTACCTTTTCATTTTTCAGGGTGTTTCATTTGTTTGTTATTCAAATGTAAAAGTTTAATTAAAACAACAACAACAACAACAACAACAACAAGGATTCTTTGTTCAAAACACCTAAGTTTAACATGTCTATATGAAATATATATATATATATATATATATATATATATATATATATATATATATATAGAATATAAAATTAAAATATTCTACACTTCTCAAAAGACCTAAATCATTCTAATAAAACGCCAGGTTAGTGTGCAGTGAGAAGCCATTTTTGTTGGATTCCTGACCAGCGTCTCCATGCTGTGGACGTGAATCACCTGAAACACAGAAATAGACAAAGAAAATATGAATTTAGCATTTTTGTTTTACAACAACAATCTATATCAAAAACAGAACATTTTCTATGAAAGATTTAATTAGAATTCTGCATAAAGACACTCACGAGCCAAATTTAACATCTGTTGATGACAAACATAAAAACAATATTCTCATAATGCAGCTCTTTGTAATCATCTTTAGAATAGAAGATTGTATCTGAAATACTTTGTGTTAAGGAACTTTTGTTCCTTTAATCTAATACTTGCTCAGTGGTTTTTATTATTTTAGTCCTACTAAATAAAAGTACTTTGTACTCAGCTGGCAATTTTAAAGTACAAAATAAAAATAATTTCACGGTTGGAGAGGAAAAAAAGATCTAAAACTTGCAGGTGGATCAGTTATGATGCCACAACCCCATCTAGTGGGCAGCTTGTGTTTCTTATTGTAAATTTATCCTTATTGAGACAAACTTCTCAATATAGTGACACGTGACATCAGCGCCACCCCAGGAACGTAGATCGATTGGTAAAACGAGAGCTTTGCCTTCTGGATCAGCTCTCTCTTTACCACAACAGACCGGTACAACACCTGCATCACTGCAGGCGCAGCACCAATCCGCCTATCGATGTCACGCTCCATTTGTCCCTCACTCATAAACAAGACACCAAGATACTTAACCTCCTTCACTTGAGGCAGGACCTTGTCCCTAACCTGGAGAAGATGAAGAATTTATAAAAGAATTATATAAACTGCACAGCAGAGATCTGTAAACTGTTTGACTTAAAATATATTTTAATAAGGATAATTTTAGAAAGCTGCAGACATTTGTTCTCATATGCAGCAACTTGACACAAATAAGGACTGTTGTGGACAAAAGCATACGCAATCCTCAAAGCGTGTGTTAGAAGTACATTTACACTTACCGATCAGGCATCGCAGAAGCAGCTGCGCTGTTGGTTCATTCATGACATAAAGGAGTGGAGTTGAAGATGCTGCATTTTGTAACTAGCAACAAAAATGTGAAGCTATTAGTGAGGAAAATACACGAATGACTAAGTTGATCCTGATCTGTATGTCACCAGTTATTTTTTTCATAAATAAAAGCCCTTACGTTCATAACGGTTTATGTAGCATCAGCACGTTGTGCTAACAAAGAAAGGTGCTAACATAGTCAGGTATAAAACAAGGCAACAATCTAGTTCAATCATTCTAAATAAAATAAAATTAATAAAACAATGGCTTTAAGTAAAGCAAGTTGTTTTAATATGAAGCAAGAATAATCTGTCCAAAAGAAAAATACAAACCATAGCATCAGTTTTCAAGCCGTGTGACTGCCTCCATCGTTGAAACGTGATGCCAATGTTCACCGTGGTTTGTCCTCTATTGTCTGTCCTGTGCCCTCTTTGTCCAAGCGTATTTTGTTCTATTTCGTATAGCCTAGCCCTTTAAGCCATCGCCTTAATCAATCATTGAAGAGCTTTTAAGTACACCTGCTTCCTATGCGGGTCATGAGAGTGCTACTTCGTTAGCTAGTTGCTAAGCCTTTCTGTTCCCGCGCCCGTGCTGCATAAGTCGGACGGCTTATAGCTATCTAGCTGGCCCGAGTTCTGCTCAGAACCAACACTCGGCCGCTGTCTCCATTCTTCCAGCTCAAGCTTGGTGACTCGATGCAGGAAAATGTGTGTGATTACGACTGCTTAGGAATGTTATTTAAAATAAACATTCCCTGAGAACAAATTACTGTTACGATCCACAGCTACAGATGGTTCGTACGATCCTTCTGCTGTCCTCTCACACAAGTTTTCCCTCGCCAAGCACAACCATCCCTCCTGCACAGCCGGAATGCACATCTCACCGTGCCACAGTTTTGGGCTTTCGGGTCGCGGATGCGTACCTCGTCACACACGCGCGTGCTCTGCTCCCGGCGGAGTTTTTTCCTGATGGGATGTGGTGTGAGTCTGCATGATTATGGGTTTGCTTGGATCTCTGCCTGTCACAACCCAGTTACCCGCCGGCTGCGGCTCCGCCTACCTCGCTCCCACACCATGGTTTGAGCTGAGTTTCATCTCCGCGGGATGTGCTGCAGCCTGCATGGTTGTGCTGTCTCACACTCCCTGCCCGCCAAAATGACTCTTTGGGGGACGTATGTGTGGTCATCTTCATGTTCAAATCATAAGTGCAGGATTTTGAAACAGTGTTTTCATCAGAAGGTTCTGTTGAGCACTCTGTCGGGGTGTCCCACACCTAAAGCACCCATTTCTGGAGACCACTCAGCTGAGGTTCACAATGGGTTAGCTACAGCTGCTAACTGCTTTAAGGCTAAGGGACGACACGCTAACAAGGAACACACTTCCTTCACTTAGCTGTCAAACCCCCCACACACAAATCTTGTGTGTGAACGTGACATTAAACAAGGGCTCCGTGGCGAGCAATGCGGTCTGCTGATGAGGCAGCGACCATTCGCCAGAGAGGCAACCTCTCATGCTCCCACACTGACTAAGAGGGCTGCCTGCATCGCCGGTTCTTGCGCTCGCACGCTACAGCTGAGCGCGCCAATCTTTGTTCAGCCACCCGTGCTTATGGCCCATCCATCATCTGTGGATGACATGGGCCTCCCGCCCTCCACGGACAACCCCTTGGGTCGCCCCTCCCTTCTGTGGAGGTGGCAGACAACAGTAAGGGCTCGAGGATGGCTTGCGTGCTTAGTCAGAATTTAAGGCTTTACCACCCTGAAAAAGCCAGATCTCATCTGATCTTGGAAGCAATCCAGGGTAGGGCTTGATCAGTACCTGGATGGGAGACCGCTTAGGAATACCAGGTGCTGTAACCCAGTCTCTGCACAGTCATGCAGGCATGGACATGTGCTTATCACATGGGGGCATGGATACACAACATCTACATGGTCACAGACTTCAGTTTCAGTCTTGCCCTTCCCCATTTGCAGGGACTGTGGAGACCAAATTGACATCAGATCAATCTCGTGCTCAGATCAGAACTGCTGGAACTACTGGAAAGGAAGCTACTTTCAGGGTTCCAAAGGGCGAAGGAGGCTCAAGGTTCTACACTTGCTTCTTCCTGGTTCTGGAAAAGTCGGGAGGAATCAAGCCTATTCTCAATCTTTCCGCTTCGAGGCAGTAAGATACTTCTGCCTGCTGACCATCTGACAGGTTCTGAGTTATGTGCATCCAGGCGATCAGTTCACCTGCATCAACCTGAGAGATGCCTATTTTCACATTCTGGTGATCCCAAAACACAGGAGATTCCTGCGTTTCTCCTTCATCGGAGCTCAGTTCCAGTGCAACATCCTCCTTTCAGGTACCCCCTTGCACCATGTGCCTCAAGGTGGCGCTCCAACCAATATGCACCAAAGGCATGAAAATCCTCTTTCCACATGATCTCCTGCTTTTGACCTGCTCCAAGTCCGATGCAGACTTGCGGACGCTGGCAGAACGTCAGGTTCGGGTTTTCCATAAACGAGGAGGAAAGTTTGGTGACTCCTTCTCAGGTGATTTTTGGGAGTGGAAATGAACTCCGGGATCATGAAAGAGCACTTGTCACAGTCTGGAATTATGGACTTAACTGCGATGCTCAGGCACATGTGCACACGTCACTCTGTGACGGCACTGACAGTCATTAAACTGATGAGCATGATGAGATACATTCAACATTGGCTCAGACATCTCAAGGTTCGCCTGATCCACCACAAGCTTTACATCTTGCCCGTTCCTCCCTCAGTGGAGGGATCTGCAACATCAGGTAGTCCCCAGACCATGAGAAGAGGAGTCCCGCTTGGCTGCGTGGCCTCCCATGTTTCAATATTTACAGACTCATTTCTGTCAGGATGGGTGGGCTCTACACGTTTGTCCCATTCAGTTGGCGGCAGTTGGCGTCCATGAATTCATGCGTGCCTAAATGTGTTAGATGTCCTGAGATCCACAAAGCGATTCTCCACATTGCACCTCTGTTCCAATCCACAATGTTGTTGTTCACTCGGACAACCAAGTCGCATATGTGAACCGCCAAGGCGGGGTTCACTCTGCCGTACTTCTGTGGGTAGCCAGAATGCTTCTGTGCTGGGATCAGACACCTTCTGTCTTTAAAAGCAGTTTGCAGCCTGGGCATTTTGAATGTTGAAGCAGACATCATGTCCAGATGTGGCCCACATCACTTGGAGTGGCATCACCACCCCAATCTTGTGTCTCTGTCATGACTCCCAATCCTTCACCCTCCTCTGCCTCCTCATCTAGCTCCTGACAAGCCCTGTTTCCCTGCCAACCGCAATCAGCTTCATCCACTTCACCTGTTCCTCTCATCAGCCTCATTCACCACATCTGTTCCTCCTGCTTTATATTCACCAGCCAGCCACCAGTTCACTACCAGATTATTGAAAGCTACTGCAAGTAAATCTTCCAGCCATTCACCCTGCCTGATCTCAGCCTCCAGACCTCGCTTTCGCCCCTGACCCCTGCCTTGTACTCTGCCTGCCACCACGACCTTCGCCTGTTCTCTACCTCGTCTCCTGCCTGTTCCGTTTCTGCATGTCCGATCTAGTTTTGGCCCTCGCCTCCTCTTCGACTCTGTCTCCAGCCTCGCCCACCTCTGGTAACTCTGCATCAAATAACGACTTTTAAAGGTGCTTTTCAGTGTTTGGTGTCCTTATGGGTCCTTCTAGTTCAGTTCATGACAGAATAATCTGGCCACAACATAGACTCGACGCCAACACAGGAGCAGCGACTCAGAGTAGAACGCAGCATCTTGGTTTTGGAGACCAGGATGGCCGTACTCATGGATCTACTCCAAACCAGCAAACAGGCTCGTCAGGTGACCGGCGCCCAGATCCAAGGTTTAGCAGTCACGCCGCTCAAGCCTCAAATCCCTCCGTTCTGTCCACGTCCAGCGGTGGTCCCAGGAGATGTACAGTGTCCACGTCCAACGGTGGTCCCAGGAGTCTCACTGCACCCACGCTCAGTGGGGTTCCTACTTCTGCCTTTTGAAGAGGCTCCGCCTGTCCCGGTCCAGCGGTGGTTCCAGGGGTTGCACCGCATCCACGTCCAGCTGTGGTCCCAGAGGCCGCACCACATCCTCGTCCAGCAGAGATTCCACCTTCGTCTTTCCAAGAGACTCCGCCTGCCCAGGTCCAGCGGTAGTTCCCGGGGTCACATCGCATCCATGTCCAGCGGTGGTCCCAGGGTCTGCAATACATACATGTCCAGCGGGGGTCCCACCTCCGTTTGTACGAGAGGCTCCGTCTGTCCTGCTCCAGCGGTGGTCCAGAGGGTCGCATTGCATACTGTCCCAGCGGTGGTCCCGAAGTTCGCATCACATCCTGTCCCAGCGGTGGTCCCGGAGGTCGCACCGCATCCTGTCCCAGCAATGGTCCCGGAGGTCACATCGCATCCTATTCCAGCGGTGGTCCCGGAGGTCGCATCGCATCCTGCTCCAGCAGTGGTCCTGGAGGTTGCACCGCTTCCTGCTCCAGCAGTGATCCCGGAAGTCGCGCCACGTCCTGCTCCAGCGGTGGTCCAGGAGGTCGCCCGGCATCCTGCTCCAGCGGTGGTCCCGGAGGACGTGCCGCATCCTGCTCCAGCGGTGGTCCCGGAGGACGTGCTGCATCCTGCTCCAGCGGTGGTGCCGGAGGACGTGCTGCATCCTGCTCCAGCGGTGGACCCGGAGGTCGCGCCGCGTCCTGCTCCCGCGGTGGTCCTGGAGGTCACGCCGCGTCCTGCTTCCGTGGTGGTCCTGGAGGTCACGCCGCATCCTGCTCCAGCAGTGGTCCCGGAGGTCGCATTGCATCCTGCTCCAGCGGTGGTCCCGGAGGTCGCACCGCATCCTGTCCAGCCTGTCCAAGAGGTTCCCGGTCCAGCCCGTTCATGAGGTCCCGGTCCAGCCCGTCCATGAGGTTCCAGTCCAGCCTGTCCACGAGGTTTGGTCTCCGGTCCAGCCCGTCCACGAGGCTTCGTCTCCGGTCCAGCGCGTCCAAGAGGCTTCTTTCCCGGTCCAGCCTTTTCAAGAGTCTTCGTCCCCTCAAGAGTCTTCATCCCCTCAAGAGTCTTCGTCCCTTCCAGAGTCCCCATCTCCAGAGTGTCCAGAGTCCCCATCTCCAGAGTGTCCAGAGTCCCCGTCTCCAGAGTGTCCAGAGTCCCCGTCTCCAGAGTGTCCAGAGTCCCCGTCTCCAGAGTGTCCAGAGTCCCCATCTCCAGAGTCCCCTCTGTCCCCTCAGTCTCCAGAGTCCCCTCTTAGTCTTCGCCCAGAGTCCCCTCTTAGTCTTTGTCTAGAGTCCCCTCTTAGTCCTCGTCCTCCAGTGTCCCCAGTCCCCAGACTCCTGCAGTCCCGGCTCCTGGTTCCCCGTCGCCGGCCCCCCAGACTCCCGCAGTCCCGGCATCTGGTTCCCCGTCACCGGCTCCCCAGAATCCCACAGTCCCGGCTCCTGGTTCCCCGTCGTCGACCCTCCAGACTCCCGCAGTCCCGGCTCCTGGTTCCCCGCTGCCGGCCCCCAGACTCTTCTGGCCCTCCTCGCTGGTCCCCCTCCTCCCGCCCTGCTCTGGCCCTCCATCCTGGTCCCCCTCCTCCCGCCCTGCTCTGGTTTCCTGTGGGCATCTTGAATCCACCCTTGAAGGGGGGGGGGGGGGGGGGGGGGTCTGTCATGATTCCCAATTCTTCACCCTCCTCTGCCTCCTCATCTAGCTCCTGAAAAGCCCTGTTTCCTTGCCAACCGCAATCAGCTTCATCCACTTCACCTGTTCCTGTCATCAGCCTCATTCACCACACCTGTTCCTCCTGCTTTATATTCACCAGCCAGCCACCAGTTCACTGCCAGATTATTGAACGCTACTGCAAGTAAATCTTCCAGCCATTCACCCTGCCTGATCTCAGCCTCCGGACCTCGTTCTCGCCCGACCCCTGCCTTGTACTCTGCCTGCCACCACGACCGTCGCCTGTCTACCTCGTCTCCTGCCTGTTCCCTTTTTCTGCATGTCCGATCTAGTTTTGACCCTCACCTCCTCTTCGACTCTGTCTCCAGCCTCGCCCACCTCTGGTAACTCTGCATCAAATAAAGACTTTTAAAAGTGCTTTTCAATGTTTGGTGTCATTACGGGTCCTTCTAGTTCAGTTCGTGACAGTCTCATATTGGGAGAGTTTGGGGGATTGCGGCTGTGGATCTGCTTGAGTCTCGCAAAAACACACTCTGCAGACTGTGGTTCTCTTTGAGCACACAAGATTGTCTCCCATTTGGTATTGATGCTTTAGCTCACGAATCATGGCTCAGGGTCCTACTTAACCTTTTTCCCCGGTTGCGCTAATTCCCAGCCTCTTGGTATGAATTGGGCAGGAACAGCTATCAATTGTTCTGGTAGCCCCTCAACGCAGCGCAGCTCCTTTGTCTTTGGAACTGCAGCTGTTGGTGACGACGCATCTGTGGCGCCTGTTTTGGAGAAAGGATGCGCTCCTGCAAGCAGGCAGAGCCATCAGACACCCACCAATCCTGAGTCTACATTTGTTGGTTTGATTGCTAAATGGTTACACTCAGTGTCTCTTGGTCTATCACCTGACATGATCCAGACCATTCAGAACGCTTGCGCTTCATCCACAGTGATCTCGTATTCTGCTAAATGGGCTGCGTTTCAGCGCTTATGTGAGGAGTAAAACTTGATCTCCTCTCCTGCCCATTAGCTAGCATTCTGCCTTTCGTGCTGACACACGAATGTGTAACTCTCAACTGGGATCTGGCTGTGGTTCTGCATGGGCTGTCCCAGGCTCCCTTTGAACCAGGTTCCAATAAAGGTTTTGTCCCTCAAAACCGCAATGTTGCTGGATGTGACGTCATTTAAGAGGATTAGTGACCTAAATTCTCTCTCTGTCTTGCCATCTTGTCTCAGGAAATGGAATGATGGGTGTATAGACGTTCTCTGACCCAAACCCAGCGACCTACCCCAAAGAAATCACAAGCTCTTTCAGGTTCTGAACCATTTCTCTGGTAGGGTTTTCCTTCCCCTCATGTGTCAGTAAGATGCTGCATCCTGTTGTGCCCAGTGCATGCACTCAGACTCTAAGTCTCTCGCACAGCTCAGCTGCGCACTCCGCAGCAGCTGTTTGTTCACTACAGTGATTGTTCCAAAGGGCAACCTCTGTCATCTCAGCATCTTTCACATTGGCTGTGGGACGTCATCACAAGTACCTATGCTTCATCTGGCTTGGATGCTCCAGTCAGATTAAAAGTGCATTCTAATCAGGCGGTTTCTTCCTCTGGGGCCATTGCGAGCTGGAATGTCTGTAGCAGACATATGCATGGCTGCTTCATGGTCTTCACCACCTGTTTTACCTCAGAGAGGTGTCCACCAGCCTCGTTACTAATGTGGTGCTAACGCACAGTTCAGCTTAATCACAGCTGTCGCTGAAAGTTCTTATCAGAAACCTTGCAGTTTTGTTTTTGTCATCCTTGTGTTCTTAAACACCCTCGTTGACATGTCCTTACAATATGTCACATTGTGTCCTCTTGATTGTGACAGCTTCTCTCCAACCGGTTGCTAGGCAACCTTGGAGTTGATTTTCATCAGCTATACGCTGATCATATGCTGTCATCATGTTCTCTAGCTGTTCTCATGTTTACGACCGCCGACAGCTGTAGAGGTTTATTAGGTGGAGCCTCTTGAGTCCGCTCAGGTTTAGTTCTGAACCAATGTGGCATTGACTATATCTGGCTCCGCCTTTAATCCAATAGGCGATGGCTTAAAGGGCGGAGCTATACGAAATAGAACGTTGGTTGCGTATTGTAATCCCAGATTCTATGAGTATAGCGTAGCCCTTTAAGCATCTTGGCCCCACTGGTTCTTTGGGCTCAATAAGACTTATGGAGACGAGCTATGCTCGCTGTGCCCTTTTTAGGGGCCAGGATCCGCCTAGGAGGCGGGCGTACATAAAAGCTCTTCAATTATTGGTTAAGGGGATGATATTAATCCAATAGGCTATGGCTTAAAGGGTTACGCTATACTCAAAGAATCTAGGGTTACAATACGTAACCAACGTTTTCTGCTAATTCAAATGCTGTTTTTCACTTTGGAACTATGTTTGTAGCGGCCAGCTGTGTTTTCTTCTCTGACCTTCGAAACATTTCACTTCCGGTTCGGCCGAGCATCTCAATTCTGGTTGTGTTCTGCTGAAAACGGAGTCCGTGCACAAAAATGTAGATCATGGGGAAAGGCGGAAAAGCGGCGGTTTGGTGAGACAGACAAATTAGATGTCCAATCAGTGTTTTCTGTACAAAAGCAATGATTGGTTGAGATTTGTAGCCAAATGTTAGGGAACCACTTTATTAATTATTTTCATATTTTTTAATCTCCACAATACATATATATATATATATATATATATATATATATATATATATACATACATATATATATATACATACATATATATATATATATATATATATATATATACACATACATATATACATACATATATATATACATACATATATATATATATATATATATATATATATATATATATACACATACATATATACATACATATATATATACATATATATATATATATATATATATATATGTATATATACATATATATATATATCTATATATATATATATATATATATATATATATATATATATATATATATATATACATATATACGTATATATATATGTATATATATACATATATATATATATATATATATATACATATATATACATACATATATATACATATATATATACATATATATATATATATACATATATATACACACATGTTGCTAAGAGGCATGAAAAAAATCTTTTAAGCTAATTTTTAGGAACAGGAGTCTACATTTTCAGCTATAAAAGTTCACTCTACAGCTTTAATAGGACATGATTGAATAACAAATGATATTAAAGTGGATTTTGTTTAACAAAGCATTAATGAGGATAAGTTTCTGTCATGTGATAAATGAATTCACAATTCGGATTGAACTAAGTTTCAGGGTAAATTTGTAGTTACAAGTATTTGGAGATTAACGATTTACAAAAGCAGAAATAATAGCAGGTTCTGCCATTTTCATCTAATCAAATATGGTAGGATGATGTTTTTTATTGACAATATAGTGTGATTTTTTTCTTCACTGGGTTAAACCTGTTAGCGAATGTGGATCTGTCAACAATTCCTTCAAGACAGTCAAAAAAGTCAGCAAAACAATTAAGTCCAAGAGCTGCTTCACTGAGTGTGCAGGGATCTGGGCCACCCCTATGAGAATCATTCACAAGAATGGACTGAATTCACACTGCAATACGACTCTGAGGGGGTCCCTGGAGGCATCTTCTAAGCTTTGGGCTGCTAAGCTTGTTGGGCTACTCCAATATGTGGAGACATATGTGACGAACTTTGACCTTTGGCTGGGGGTCATTAAGAACCCATGGACTATCAGATCCACCAGACCAAGAGGAAAAAGATTATGCCTAATAGGTAAATTTAAGACCATTGATATTTTTTTATTAATGGGTATTAAAATAGTATTTATAACAGAGAAGAAAAAATTACAGTGCTATATTAAGAAGAGCACACAAGTTTTAAAATCAAGTCTTGAAAGAATCATAGAAACAGAATGAAAACATATAGAATAAAGAAAGGGTAATTAAAATCAGAAAGCAAAAGACAGAAATTTTCACTGACAAAGCAAATCCACAGGAAAAAAGGATCATAAATTAAACTATTAAATATTATAGAACAACAGAAAGATATTTAAGTCATTGTACAGATGAGAAAAGAGAAGAAGAAATGCAAAGATTTAAGTGTTTTTAAAGGTTTTAAAATCACCAACGTTACTGTTAAACATTTAGGAGAGGAAACTTCGAGTCATGGGTGCTAAAATTACTTATTTCATTATAGGAGAAACTCAAGCACCGAATTTACTTCAACAATAGTTTCTTTGCTCTGGATGTCTTGGATTAATATTAAGCTGAATCATGATAACTGCCAAGCTTTAGGATAATATACTGTACATCTAATTATTTCCATATGTATTACAAAAGGGTAACAAAATTCGGTTGGACAAACTCTGTGATGTTCAATATTTTCTAAATAAACTGAGTCTAAAATTAAACTTGACCTAACCGTAGTCGAGATGAGTTATGTCGGTTTTTATTTGTAGCACAAATCAATCGCAACAGTCACTGTTCCAGAGTGCTACCCTCAAGGTGGCAGGTTGTAGCGATAAAGTAAAATACATTTACCAAGAAAACTATTACAAACTAAAATCACAAGAAGAAAAGCAAG